TGTGTATTATGACCCTGGTGCCTCTTTCTGACCAACTCCTTGTTTAGCCTGGAAACTGGCACAAAGAATAAGCATTAAGAAAACCACAAGCACTAAAATATCTGTACATTTATCATAAACAGAAAGACAATAGCCATTCAGTCAAGCAGACATAATCAAAACTCCTTACAGAGCAAAACTACCTATGTTTTTCCTAAGTATGTGCTCCAGCAGAAAACTCTACTGTTACTTCTAGGACTTGTCTAGGGTCCACCACATTACCTTCATAACAGCTCTTTTGGCAGAAAAAAAGAAAATTAACTATTCTCAGTCATTTTACTTTTCAAAAATTGACAGTTGTAATTTGAAAATAAAGGCATTGCTATTAGCATTAACACTAACTTATAATTTAGAAGTCCTTAAAACTATTTATGCTCTGTAACTGTTATGAAACCCTCTCATACAAGGTGATTTCTAAAGGTGAACAAATTTGCTTGTCAGGAGAAGCAGTATAACAGCTTATATTGCCAGATAGAACTATGTGTCTCTTGGGTTTGGCAACTCAAGGATGTAAATGTTACAGAATGTAAAAGAGAAAGCAGACTGTTCTCCTAAACTTGGGTAACAGCAGAAGCCCAATGAATGTACTGACAATTACAAAATAGGGCTTTCTTTGCTAAAATTGAGCACTCAGGTTTGCTATATGAACAACCCTGCCAGCCAAAATTTGTATGAAAAAAAAAAAAGCATCAGCTCCCCAAAACTGGATAAAGATTGGCACTAATACTGATAAATTGCATATGTAATTAATATTCAGATTGTCCTTACTCACTGTGGTGATGTTGGCAGCTAACCTCCATAGAGCAGAGGTAAAAGAGTCATTTAGACTTTGCCACTGATTTTTTATAAAAGTGCAGAAATAGTGACCAGTTGACAAGATACCTGCCAAAATGTATCACCATTTAGGGTGGTTTTTCAAAATTAGGCTAGTATGGAGTTTTTAGGCCTGACAGTTACAAAAATCTTTGTAGGGTAGGTGGTAAACAATTTCACCATCACAAGATTTTTCTACTTTAATCTGTGAATAATCTTCTTATATGAAACAGAAATGAAGTTGTGGAATATACAGCCTTTCCACCAGCTTGTTGACTCTATACCATTACTGTTAAAAGTTGTTGAGACAGTTTTTGAGCTTTTTAATCCCATCACCTGATGAAGAGTGTCATGGACAAGCATGCAGTGGGAAACTAATAGAGCAAAGCTTTCTGCAAGCCTTTTAATGTTGACTTTGGTTTAGAGCATAGACTGTTATATTCCAAGGTAATCCATCAATTTCCATCTCTCTATTTCTTAGCTAAGGCTACATCAAAGTCTTCTTATAGAGAAGACAGGGTTCCAAGCAATTGTCAAAAATATCCATGAAAACTTGATGTAACTATTCCAGAGTCCCGCTGCAAAGTATAGTAGCTGTTGAATCCTGCAACAGTTAACACAACTGAAGCATTAATGGGTTACTGGCTAGTGTCTTGTAGCATGCTTTGATTGCTTTCTGCAGTAGATGAAGTGAGGGATGTACAACATAACAATGAGATGCACTGTCATGTGCAGAGTACAGGAGTATGAATACATTTCTGGTGCCTGTTACAGTCTTTTCAAATGTTTACCACTATCTGAATTGAACCAATTAATATTACATCAGCACTTGAATAGATCTTTTAGTAATGTATTATCATTTCTTCTATGCTTACAGAAACAAGAATCTACTTATTTGTTGCTTAGAAATCCAAAAATGTTTGGGTTTTTTTTTTTTACTATCTTTGAATTTGTGAAGATAGGTAGTTCTAGCTGTTGCTAGCAAGTACATCTAGAATATTTTCTCAAGTATGTATATCAAATTGATAATTATTGCTTCTTAAAATGGCTAAATTTAATCTTGCTAGGCATTCACCTTAATTGAAATCAAATATCAGGCTTTCAACTGAGTTAACATTAAGCAAGTTGTTGATATGAAAACCCCAGTCACAGATGATTCAGATGCTGACTTCTGAATTTGTCTTCTGCCTGTTTGCAAAGAATACTCTCTCAAGGCAATCATAGTACGTGCAACTTAGATCATATTTTTGTTGTATCAGAAGTTACTGTTCTGGTTTAGATACTGTCCAGTGAAAACAATGGATGCTAACTGTAGTATATTACAGGATGTATTTTTGAAAAATAAATGCCATTAAGGCATATTAAATATTTCAAGTGTATTTTACACTTGTTTTCCTTTTAATTATCTTGAAATTAAATACATATAATCAGTGCAGCAGACTATACAGGTTCCTGCATACCACATGACTATATGACAAATAGCATACCTCATCCCCCTCCCGGTTTTGCCATTGGTAATGCTTAGTAGGATGCATGATTCATATCATGCAATAGAGAGACAGAACTCACACAGCTCTTGTACATTTAAATAGTCATATTTTGATTCTGATCAACTACAGTGGAAAGGAACAGTAGGTTTTTCTTTGTACTTCCACTTAGCCACTTGATAATACACCTGTTAATATCCACAAAAAGTTCCTTTTCTTGTCACGGTTGTAGCCATTGCCAATTATATTTTTCTCTTCTGCAGGCTGCTCTGACTCTTCCACAGAGACCACTTCTTCATTGTTCTACTGTGATTCCTGTTGTGGCTCTGACATTAAAGTTTATTATGCACCTTTTCAGGCTTAAGGATTCATGGTGCTTTCTTCCCTGGATGTTGTTCATATCCTGGACTTCTCATCATGTCCGTGACGGGATTCGTCATGGCCTCTGGATCTGCCCATTTGGAAAAACTCCTCCTTTGCCATATTGGCTGTATGTGGCAATTACAGCATCTTTACCTCATCTGTGTTCATTTATTATGTATTTAACAGGCACTAGAGAATTAATGTCTATAAAACATGGAATCCACATTGATGTATAAGAATGACAGCTCTTAAAGGTTGTTTGTATTAGCACTTGAAATAAGCTATCAGTTTATCACTGAAGTGGTTTCCTTATGGTTCCTATGACTTCAGAGTTAGGCATTTTAAGCCTGGGGAGCCAGTTACAGCTCCTGCGTCAATTACTTGTGGTCATAGAAACCTATTTAACGAATGGTAATAATTTTGTATCTATACATTCCCCTTGTAAATATGTGGTCTTACATTATAGTTCATGCACAGCTACCTGATTTATAAAATACTTAGTCTCTCTCTGTAGTAGACATTACATTTTACTGTCATGGTACCATTCACCTAATCACCATTCACTTTGGATTTGTATTCTGCCTTTAGACAATACATTTCATCTAGATAGCATTTGCAGAGCATTTTAAAAATGAAAAGCACTATATAAATGCTAAGTATTAGTGAGAATTTAGTAGTGTATGGCACTTCTGAAAAAACATCAGTTAGCCTTTTGAATTTATTTGTTTGTTTTTCTGCTGGACTCTTTTATTCAACTGTTTTAAAAGAAATGCTGTCACAAAATGCAACTGTGTATCTGCACTTCTCTGAACACTGCTATCCTGTAGTGTTTCTACTAAATTCTCTTCCTGTGTAGTTGCTTGGTACTCAGTTTGCAGATAACTAGTAACTATAATTTGTGGTTAGAAGGGAGAAGGCAATTTGGTTACAGTATTATGTATGTTGGCCAAATTGTTTAATTTTTAAAATATACTAATTAGGAATATTATTAAATTTGGAACTAGGGAATTTTAGTAAACATTTGAGGATTGTGTAAAGGCAAACTTATTTATTACAGTAAAACATAAGCTGCAGGGAAGATTCAGGAAGATACAAGAAAATCAACATTGCCCAAAATGTGACCTTACTATGGTACTTGTAACCAGTATTTTCCATTAAGTTGTAATATCATCATTATTGTTGTAAAATAAAATTATTATTATATTGAAATAGAAATTTCCTCATAATAAGTTCCTTAAGGAACTTAAGGAAAAATGTTATTATGTTGCAGGTTCATAATGTAGTAATTTACACTGTGGACTGTTCAAAGTAACAGTTTTCATTTCTGAAATTTCTCAGAAAAAATCCCCAAGTAAAAATTAACAGTAAAAAACCCATCTAGTTTACAGTGTACAAGCTGAGAACTGTCTATTAATAATTGTTTTGTTAATTTTTTACTCATTGGACTCCATTGCCTATTAAGGAGATGGGGGCTTAATTACTACATTTTGTGACGAATGGCTGACAAAATGATTGCTTTTATGGAAGACCATATATAGGGTAGCATGTGCTGAACTTAAGTTATGAAAGAATGCAAAGATTAGGTGATATGTTCATATTACATTTATGTTAGTAAATGTGTGTTAGCATAAAGTACAAAAAAACTACTGAAAGTGTTAACTGGCTGGCTTAATGGGTACCAGATAAAATCTGTGTCTTTAAAGTAGTAAAAGCTCTCTGCAAGCCCACTAAGCTCATTATGGAGAGTGTTTCACCCTTCTGCAGTGTGCCTTCCAAAAAGAATAGTCTCTTCCCTATTTGTTTTTCATGTTAGAAATATATGCTTATGGAAACTTGTCTGACAGTACAGTAGGCTGTTTAGCATTTACTATAAGATGAATAAAAGTTTTTCTCATTGGAAAAGCAGAATATGCCTTAAAGGATTATCCTCATACTGTGGATTTCTGCTTTTATATGTAAAAGTTTCCCAGAAAGAACATCACAAATGTCCTTGGAGCCCTTGGAGCATGATGGTTTGGTAGTGGAGAAGTACTGATCATTTACTTCTAACCTGTATTTTAAACTAGGATATGAAATGCTAATAATTAAAATAATTTGTGCAAGAAGTGAACACTTAAATAATGTAGAAAATTTTCTGTGTTCTTGTTTCATGGTATAATATTTGTATGATTTTGTGCTTTATCCAGATTTGTTGCAAAGGGAAATGTATATAGGAACAAAGTGAACAATTACATTCTTATTTTTTATTGTAGCTGTACCATTTTTGGTGACTATGTCCACCAACAATCCTTAAGAGTGGTACTGTACTGTTCTAGCTGTGTTTAAGGATCAGTTAATAGGTACATCTTCAGTAGTTTAAGAGCACATATTTTCATTTTCTGTATTTCTAGCAATTTTTGTGAGGTTTTTTACAATAATTTTCATCTCTATTTCAAAATGTTATTTTTCTGGTCATGTTCTTATACCAGTTCTATGACAACCATAGGTGAACACCACTTAGAAATGTATTAAGGGAAGTAGCAAGCACTTGTGACACAATCTCTTTCTCTCTCCAGAGAGACATGACAGTCTCATGCCACCTCCTGATATTTAGGTACCTTTAGCTCAGGCCATTGCAACTTTTCAAGGTAAACTGACACGTTGTATGTAATGCTGTAATTTGTGGGTAGCCAGATTAGAGAACAAATAAGTTAAATATTTGTTTCAGCCTGTATCACCTAGGAAATACTTGTAAGGAATTGTTAGGCAATTCATTCATAATAGGCAGGTGTATTTCACATATATTTCAAATTCATTGATATTTCCAACTATGCATTGATACCTGCCATGTGTAGCAAAGCCATGGCAGAAATAAACGAAGATAGTAAAAACATAGTTGTTTTGTGCTTTACTGCATGTGTTACAATGAAGGATAAATTGAAGTACAAAAAGCATGTGAATTACACAAACTGGTTAACAAACTCAAGCTAATAATTTCATGCACAATGTATGATACATATCACTAAAATATTAGTTATTTCAGTGGTTAATTTAATATGCTAAACTTCTTCCATGTATTTTCAAGTTGTAGTTACAAACTTGGAGAAAGTGTGAAGTTTTTTCTTACTTTGCTGCTTTCTTACTGTGCTGCTTTTTTTTTTTTTCTTGATTTAATGGATTGCTGTCTTAAAATGTAGGTACTAATAATTGTCAAGTTAAAAATATTAGAATGTTTATTCTTCCCCAGTTCTCTAGAAATAAGATAAATTTTCTTCTAGTTCCCTAATGGCCTTACCAGAAAGAGTGAACACATCTCACAATCACAGAATCAACTAGATTGGAAAGGACCTTGAAGATCATCCAGTCCAACCATTAACCTCACACCGACAGTTCCCAACTACACCATATCCCTAAGTACTGTCTCGTATCAGTTTATATTCTAGTTCAAAATGTGATCTGTATTTTCACATGACTATTGGTACCACTTTTTTTTACGGTGAAGTATATTGTATCATGTGCCTTTAATTGGTTATTGATTTGGAGTCCCCATCCCTGGAGGTGTTTTAAGAGTTGGGTTGACACAGTGCTGAGGGATATGGTGTAGTTGAGAACTGTCAGTATGAGGTTAATTGTTGGACTGGATGATCTTCAAGGTCCTTTCCAACCTAGATGATTTTGTGATTCTGTGATAAGTGAATTATTCATAACTGATGCTAATGCTCCAGTGAAAATGCTGTTGAGTTTGAATTAAAATAATTTTAACAGCCAGGCCGTTGCTATTAGCTTATCATCAGCAAAGCATTTCCTTTGCTTGTGGAAATAAAATTCCAGAAAGAGAAAAGGAAGGGATTAAAACTGAGTGTAAAGGAAACGTTAGTACAGTTAATTTTGAACACATGCATTTTTATTCCATCAGATACTGTCACTATGAAGTTGTGATGAAATGCATCAAAAGAGTACTTTTCTGTTTAATTGAACCAATCTAAATTCTGTCAGTTATTCAGGGCAGAAGAAGTTTTGTATTGTGTTTTGTACTGTAAGTGTTACAACTGGTAATTTTGAGTCCATAAACTAGGGTTTATTTCCGTGCTACAGGTGACCTTGCACAGAAACAAAGTAAGAGCTGTCAGGTTAAAGCACCCTTTGCGTTCCTTACAAAAAACCCAGTAGTAATACCTTTTCTCAAAATAAGAAATGGTGCCTTCAGTTCTTTCTTAAAATTCCCCAAATTTTATGTCCTCTACATTGAATTACAGATTTGAGTGCTTCATTGTTAAACTGATTTCTGTTACTTACAACGTAAACCCACTATTAAAGGTAAACAGTACTTGTATTTTTAGGTATATGTATATCACCCACTGATTTTTTTCCTTCTATGTTCATATAATAATTTTCTGTTTGCTTAACCTAATTTTGTATTGAATTTTCTGGGGGTAAGGGAGAGTGTTTCTCTCAATGACTAGGAAACCCAGGTATGCCACTACTTAGCAGAAACATTTTAATGCAATGTTAAGGAAATCTTCAGAGTATTGAAAACTAGAAAAGAAAATATTCTATATTCCATTTGATGGGAATGTTAAGTAGATTTCTAGGCAGTTTGTAAAAGCAGATTTGTTTAATCAAAATTAATTGACTGAAAACATTTGTATTAGTAAATATGGGTGAACAATATGTGTGAAAATGGATTTGTATACTAAAACTTTTGCAGGAATAATTTACCAAGTCAGAACTGTTGCCATATCTGCCACAGAAACAACTTCTTTGTCTAAGGAATGTTACTAATGTCCCTGAAGCCTTCCTCATGTTGCCAAAGGAAAGTCAATCTTATTTTGGTCTTAGTCAATTTTCCCCTTAAAAATTGCATAACATTGAGTGAGGGTTCCTGGACTGGTGTAGGGTAGTTGGCTTGAACTGTTGTCCACTCTTTAACAACAGTTTTTACAGATGAGTCAAGCTGGGAGCTCTGAGCTCTGGTACAGGAGCTATGGGAAAGAAATGAAGCCAAAGATAGCAAACATAACAATGGCATAGGGATTTACAAGGTTATAGTGCTAGTTTCACTTTTGGATTTCAATTTAAATTGCTGATAGTCAAACGAAACAAACTTCTTTTTATATATTACTGCCAACAATTTAGAATCAAATTGTACGATGACTGCTCTAAAAATATGAAGTGTTTCTGGGCCAAATGAATACTGTAAGATTCAAGTAATAAGACTTTATTAATGTATTTTCAACAAAATCTTTTATGTCTTTTTGTTCATTTAACTTTATATAATGTTGAGACACAAGCACCCAGTTATTTCCTAGTCTTAATGTGGAAGTATGGTTGGGGCTTGGAGAGTTTTGATGCAGACTACTCTAGCTAGCAAAACCTTTTAGCACAAGTAATTTCTTGTTTCATTAGTCCCTGGGAAGACATCTTCCTTTCTTCTAGGTGTGCTTTGTTAGTGTGGAAGTTGGAGTGATTTGCCAGTATCTTTGGGGTAAATGTTCTGTATAAATCAAACAAATAAGCAAAGCAAATGCTCTTACAACTTCATACCATAAAAATGTGTGCACATGATTTATTTATAAATTTACAAGTCTATATAAATACTGACAAAGTGGTATTTCTAGTAATTTTATATGGCTACAGAGACATCAGCAGTGTTTCGTGTACTCTCCTGGTGCTTGACTTACCTCAGGTTGGATAGAAAGTATGCTTCTACTTCAATGTACATGACCCAGCTGGGTTCAGCAGACTAAATGGTAGACATCTATCTCGTAGCAAAGCATTCTAGAGTCTTTTTTTTATTCAGTGTGTAGCTAGTGTCCAGATAGTGAACCAGTCTGCTCAGTGCTGCTTAAACATGATTTATCCCTTAAAAAAGATGTCTACTTCTGGTGTATTCTACTCACCACAAATTGTACTAACTAGATGGTAGCTGACTAAAATTGGGACTGTAGATTGGGTTTGTCTTCATATCATTCACCATGATCTCCTGTTGCTGAAGAAGGGACCCATCTCTTCCGAGAGTATTTTATCCAGGAGATTTTGACATGTAGCAAAACATGAAAAAGTAGTGCAACTAAAGGCAGTTCTTAGGAGGCAGTTAACATTACTTGTAGAGTGACATGTTTCAGTAGAGGGATGATCAGCTTTTTAAAATTAATTGTAACTTCTAAAGTGCAGAACATTTATTCTAAAATTAGACATTTTTTTTTCTCAAAAGCAAAATCTGTCCAAAGCCAGGAGTTTCTCTTTAAAAGATTTAATAGTTGCACTTAGTGATCATGCCTGAAATTTTCAGTGCTAAGTCTTTGCTTCAGTTTACATTTCTCTGAAAAAAATTATTTGATGTAGTGCCAGTGTATGGGGACTTGGAACATGAAATTTGTGAAAAGATTGCACCTTTTTGTTCCTTGAAAGTTGACTTAGAGTCTCTACTTGTGTATCCTACAGCAGAGCTTGTACTAGGTAATGTCAGTCTCTCTTAATGTCAGTATAGAAAAGCTGGACACCTGTTTATTGTCATGATAAATATTTATTGCAGTTAGAAACTTCTGATACTGCTCTCCAGTACTGGAGATCCAAGGAGTTCTGGGTTGTACTTGCTGCTTCCACATGCACACTCAGTGCCAAGGTGTGCTGCAGTGTTAGTTAAGGAAACCAGTGCTTGAGTGTGTGGTGTACAGGGCATCATGCTTCAGCAGTTTCCGTGGGTGTTAAAACCTGCTTCTGTTAAAAAGAAAATCCTTTCAAAAAAGGTTTTTTCCTAATTAATTTCTGCTACTGAAAGTCTTGTTGAATGATCAAATTTCTTTAAAACTTGTTTCAGATAAGAAAACCAGTTTGGCTGTGACTAGATTTACAAGAAAGTATATTTTTGCTGTCTCTTTCAAAGAGATGAATGTTGGCACATTTCTTTGGTTCTTTGTTGCCTGGATTAGTTCTGCAAAAAAGACAGTGTTGTCATCAAGAGTGTGAGCATTTTCCCTATTTATAGTGAACAGATACAAAGGTTTGGAAAAGTTGAATACAACTTTTTTGCTTTTGACACGTGTTCACACACATTCACTTATTATAGTTGCAAAAGGTATACAATAAAAGGTGGAAAATGCTTTGGACTAGGCATACACTGAGCATTTCATCCAAACTGCTTATACAACAGGCTGTAGATGCATCTCCTCTGGAAGAAAGTACTTGATGTCATTAAACAGGCTATTGAAAAACAAAGCATTGAAGACAGAGTTGCTTTGCTCTGCTTTTCCCTTCATCAGGTTGTTCTACGTCCCTAGCTTGCAGAAGAACTGGCCTTTTAGCAAGTTTGTTCGCATTGCCACATAGTGTACACATACTCTAAGCTTACATGAAAGATGAAAGGTTTCAAGTGCAGCAGTGAAGGTGAGTTACATGAGCAAAATGCTCTGTTCCTGAGTTGTTGATGGTATGTGATACCAATGGGGGGAAAGCATCTCTCAAAAGGAGTAGTATTGATGAAAGGTAGAGAACACATTACTTCCCTGGCACTAGTGATATTTCCTTATGCAGGCTATCACTCCAGTTTCCCTGGCAGGAGTTAACTTTATTGACAGAGATAAAAGCTTTAGTTTTCAGTTGAGATTCCAGCTGATTTGGCACACTGACATAGTCATATCTACAGAGGTAACAAACATTGATTTTTCTCTGTGTAATGAGAACAGCTTCTACTAAATTTTTCCAAGTTTGTACTACATCCAGACTTGAAAAAAAAAATCAGCAGAATACTTTGTGTTGAAGAACTGTTTGAAAACACTCTCTGTTATGTTTACAAAGGGTATTTGCTATTTCTGCTTACTTTCTATCCCAAAGTAACCCACACTTGCAGGTCTTTTGAAATAATTAAGTTGCCTGCTTCATGGAGAAGGAAAGGACTTGCAGAGGTACACAAAAGAGAGAAAATGATTTACCCACCTTCTGAAGGAAGCAACTGCTAGGCTTTCAAAATCAAAACAGTTGAACAGAGGTGTTCTGACATGCATAAAATATATTTTAATGCTGTTGAATGTTATATCCCTTCATAATTTATCAAATTAAGACTTCTTATACTGCCACTTTTCTTTGCTCTAGTATTCCTGTC